ATAAAGAATAAGTGACGAATCCTCGATCATTTCTCATCCATTAGAACCTATTTTTTTTTTGTTTTTTGTACAAAATGTTTAATGTATCACAAAATCTGATAACTACAAGCAGTGTAGTATCAACTATACTTTTGCTCAAGATATACGTTATTTTGATTTTATTTGATCGCAACTTGTATATTGATCTTCTATGAACGAAGAAATCGCAATAGTTACGGAAGCAATTTTTCAGACCCCATAAGCTCCGTAGAAGTTATTAATCACAAGCATTGAAAATATTCGAGATTTTTACGTGGCATATTTTACCTCCCTCCGATCTAGAATAATTTCGCCACTAGAAATCTATTCTTATAGAAGATCAATAACAACATTTTTCTTCTTTTACAGCCATTTAGAACAAAAAGAATTCGCTTGAAATCTCTATGTACACGTATAATATAAATTTAATGGTAAACGCTTAAAATAATTAAACAATGAAATTAAAGTTAATGTATAGATAAGTATTGTAACTGTGAACTAAATCTATGAAACTATAAAATGTGCTGAGATTGACTTGAAAACGAAGAAAAGTAAAATATGTAAGAAACGTATGGTTGACACTTCACTGTATATGGAATTTATAATGTAATAGAAACGTGTCTTTGCAAATGAATATAAAAACACTACTTATCGCTAAATTAAAATATTCTGTTAATGTGATAAGTATAGAATACACTAATCTGATTATATTATCTTCGGGTATACAGAAACTCAAATGATCAATTCGTACGTTTAAAGGCTCAAGAGTAAGATTTCAGTGTTAAATATAATATTTTCGTTTCCTCGTTGCAACTACCTTCTAGAAAGAATAATTGAAAGAACAAGGTATTTTCTGAAGAAAACGAAAACATTATTATCTGTAAAATTATGTACGACCTAAGTTTCATAGATATTATGAACATTTATCTTCCCTAATATTGGCATATTATTGATATCGGTTGTTTGCGATGGCCGATAATATCTCGTACAGTTCTTTGTAATGGATAATCTTCTTTAAAATCAACTACTAGTCACTGTATTATTGCAGCGACTGCTGTATTTCATTTTTTTATCTTGCTTACAGAATTTTTCAAACTATATAAATATATAAGAGTTTAATGCTATTCAACGTGAACGCAATTGTACGTTATACAGAATGAATTCATCGTCTATTAAAATTAATCGAACTGCTTAAGGAAAGTATGGCAGCGATAACATTTGAACAAAAACACACTGAAATCTTATCTTGTTATCACTTGTTCTTAATTAAACCTTGTACCACAGCGAAATAATATGAAAAGTGTAATGTCACGTTAAACAGATATTTTAACACGTTGTTATCTCACTCTCCATATATATATATATGTATGCACAATTTTATGTATATACATATATTTATGTACGCATCGCACCGTATTGTATTTACTTTTTAATACTGTGTTTTACACACACACACACACTATGTAAAAAATGTTATTCCTCTCTGCAAGCGGATATTTTTACAAAACATCTTATATCGATTTTTCATCGATGCAAGAGTTATCCGCGTAATTATGTACAAATCAGTGAAAACAGGAATCATTCCCTCTTTAATTACATATTTAATGCGTTGTTTTCATATTATCCGCTAATTTTTATCAGCAGCTCGGAACAAGTGTGATGATAATATATACGTAGCTTAATCATCGTGACGACAAATGTGTGTATTCGTCCTGAAGAAATTCATGAACCAACCACTCTGCATGCCTCAATCCTTTCCTTTTTCTCTTCCTGTTCGTGTACTAAACTTGTCACAGAGTTCGTATCATATTATTGTTAATTAAAACGAAGGCATTACCAACCAAGTGTAATTAAAAATCCAGCAGTTTTTCCTCCAAGGCTAAAATAAAAAACAATTATAAGAGTTAGTCCGGTAGTTAGTACAGTTTTGTTATAGAAGACAAATTTCTCTTGCGAGTCTATTCATTCGATTTGATATTCCCAAAAACAAAACACAAAAGAAAAAGAAAAAGAATCTTATAAAAAAGCTTTTTACTTCCCTCGAGAAACTATCGCTACAATTAAATGCCTCACTTATTTTTAATGGCAATGTGAATGTACGAATGTTCCGTCCATGTACTAAACTATTATTAAACAGTTTCTCAGGCTAATTCTATCACTGTGTATGTTATTTATACTCTTTAAAGAAATTTACATTACAGAGAATAGTAATTGAATTGGTAATTAGCTGGAAAAAGGTGTGCAATCAGATCGTGTACCTGTAAGGAGACAAGAATTATATAAAATTCAAGTACATCGTTTTTCTGTAATTTCAAAGATTCAATATGAAAGTATGAGTATTCTTGAGCCTTCGCGTCACGATCTGCACGAAATACCTTTAAAAAAGTATACGTTCGTACTTTTTGATAATAATCGTGGAATTTTGGATTTTGTAATGTATGGGCCAAATACTCGTACGAATACATTAGACTTATCAACTGTTCCTAGCAAAAAGTATTCTGTTATATACATATATAAGTTACGTGATCAACAAAAAAGGAAATAAAATAAAATAGACGTTACTACAAAGATGAAATATTCATATAAAAATGGAAACCTTTTTTTATTTACAATGTACAGAGTAAGAAAATGTAACAGTGACTTGTTAAATTCATGTTCACATACCAATCAGTGGTAAATTTCACTTTCTGCTTGAAAAAGAAGCAAATACATTTGCTATTATGCATTTCAATAATTTCAGCGGTAACAATGTTAACAGGTTCAATTGAGTACTTTTTGCTGGGAGTAGCATGTAAAGTAAGATACGTTTACATATTTATTTTTCCAATAGTCGTATCACGTGTTCTTATAGTTCACGTTTTAAAAAATATAACAAACGCATTATAATTTTTCTCAACAATTCACGAAAAGCAAAATATATTAAATATATTTTGAACGGGCGTTTCCTGACACAGGAAAACAAGAATTACGCTCCCGTATGCTGTCGACTATAATAAATACGCGTTAACTTAATGTTTTTCACAGTTGTACGTTTCTCATTCAATCGTCATAACGAAAGCCATGGTAATAAATTACATATATTTAACATAATTGTAAAGGTTTTAATGCAACAAAATTCTAATACGTTGTTACGATTTCGAGGCAAGTTTGATACATACATATATACATGTGTATATATGTATATCAAGTGCGAGTTTATTTATAAATAAAAAGAAAAATAAATAGTTTGAAGGGTAGACAACAGATTTACAATGAGTCAACGGTTCACAGATGTACAAATATCTGTGTTTATCAAAGGAGAAACATCTTGCGCATATATTAGTTTTTAGTATAAAAATACAAATTGACGCATCAGCGTTTCTTCTTTTATACCTGTACAAATCCTTGATCTACAAAGTTAACCGTTTGTCCACGTATGCGATATATACTTCTCTTTCAGGCGTCGGTACAAAAAATACGAATTTCGTATATACTTTTTAAAGTTATTCACGTATAGGACCTAAGTGAACAAACTCAAATCCCCGTAAAGAATATGAGATCATCGAAGAATTACGGATATATACTCCGAGCACATGGATTTTTGCATATGATGTCGAAACTCATCGATTCGTGTAACAATTCTTACAGACCGTTTACATCCTTTAAAAGAAATAAAAACTTTTGACAACTGTTTACAGTGAACGAATAGGAACTTCGAAATTGGACCATACATTAATAGAAATATTTTTAGGCACTACAATATCTGTGTTATCGCGTTGATTAGTTAAAGCGTTCTTGAAATTATAGTGCGCGTCGGCAATAATTACTACGATGTTAATCAAACAAATTATACAACGTAGTAGTAATTTCACATAAAGAGACTACAGTCGAATTATTAGATTGGTTTATATAGCAGCAAATCCACAGGATTTTATGCGCTGGTTTCATTTTAGTCACTACATCCTCCAGAAATGGACTGCGTATATTTGAGACAGCGCATTCTCTCCTCCGGTATAGGGTACACTTTTGTTGAGTATGTTCGACAAGCTCGTTGCTTATTTCGTCATCGAAATACACACCGGACAGAGAAAGAGAGAGAGCATCGAGTGACGATCCATCGAGTAATAAAACATACTGAAACCAAAGTATTGGACGCAACAGTGATCTGAACCTGCAAAAAAATCTATCCTAAGACAATTTCTTTTTGTTGGAAGGAGGCTGAACCTCGACGAAGAACAATCTTCGTTAAATAATAATATAATCTTCAACGATGTTGCATTAAGTGACCATCTACCACGGAAAGTATCGAATGTTATTAAAAATTCACACGACCTGGTAATGCAAAGGCAAGCCTTATTAATCTCTACCCTTTAGTATACAACGGTAAACAACAAGAATTTCATTGCATATTCATAGTAAAGTCGTTCTTAATGACTCGTGTTATTATTAGCTGCTGAATCAATGAATCGGAACAAATCAATGCGACCACGAAAGATTTTTCAAGTATTACTATCTATCATTACCCTACTGTACAGTTATTTTATATAAGGTTCCAACATTTCTCTAGCATCAAGGAAATTAAGTAACTTACCATGAAATTAAGATCTTATGTTGAAACGTCGTTCGTTAAGGAATCGAGCAGCGAAGCTTTGTTATCTTCCAAATCTAGGGGATCCGAAGCGTAGAGACTGTTTGTTGCGGTATCACCTGCTGTACTGGTTACAGGGGATGCAGTGTCAAAGAAAATGTCATCATCAAAGTCTAGTAAATTTTGCGTTGGATTGTATGCCATGAGTTCTCCTCCGGCTGTTCCGTTAACATTATCTGCAACTGTAATATAAATATTGCAGTGCGTTTTAAGAAACGCGATAAGACGAGGGTTCTATTAGATATATAATAGTTAATGATTTTACGATTAGCATGATCGTCATCTTCCTTTGCAGAATGCGGATTTAATTCGGGATTAACGGGCATGCTAAACGACATTGGGTCGTCTGCTCCGAACAACTGCAAATACATCTATAATTAATAATAATAACAATAATAATAACAGCAGTACAGTAGAATCTGTGATCATATTAACATACGAAATTGTAAGCTTCAACGAAGAGGTGAAGGGTAAGAAATAAAAAGTCGGAAAGACAGACAAAGGTATAATACTGCCTGAATACTTACACCGAGGAGTGTATTTGCATCGATACTGTAACCCTCACCGCGCAGAATTTCACGAAGATTGTCCAAATCTGTCTGCATTGATTCGAGATGATTATCCATTTCCTCCCTATAGACAATTATTTAAGGTGGATCAAATATGCATAACAAAACTATAATTTCACGCAAGTTTATCCATATTTTCATGGATGAACAAGGGAAACGTCGAAAAGCCTTTTCCTGAAAAGTACAATCTTTCTATTTGGCTAAACGATAGCACAAGCAGTCTTGTATTCGTACATTTATTAATTTTTAAACAGTATTATATTATCGTTACAAATCAGTTAACGATTACTGCTTGTGCAATCATCTTGTTGAAGTTGTTGTGCACTAAAGAATGTTTTCAGCATTCATAATATGTAGAAGAAAGTTTTAAAATTTGCGGTAGACTATTCTCAAAATCTTTACAGCGAAGGAAAATAAAATCAAACAAATGATACAATTTAACACAAAGAAACTTAACCATAAGATTATTTTGAATAAAAGCGATTGTACAAAAAAGAATAAGGATTTATTTAACCGATGTCCACCGCTGACATGTCTTTTGCACTAGTTTTCTGCAATGGAATGGAATAATTCAGATTCTGTGGAAGACATTACGAAATTCCTAGACCAAAAATAGTCAATTAAAAGAACCGATTATTGTGATAACAGAAGGTGCGTAGCATTAAAATAAAAGATGGAGAACTTAGTTGTCACCGACCTCTCTGTCGCATGATAACGAATTTCCACTAGAAATGAGTGGAATTAACTGGAGACAAGATTCTTTACCCATGGTCTTTGTGAACTTACATTGATCCTAACCTGTAAGCAGCATCTGCTATGCCAGAAAGATTGACGCAGCTCAGAGGTAAATTACTGCTCGTGCCTGCTCCATTGGAGTTGGCATTTTCCTGTTCCACAGGTTTCTCAGCACCATTTGTACTTGTAATTTTTTCGTCGCTCTGTTTAGCGATATCATCAGCTTTACTAAGCAGATCAAATGTGTTCTCATTCCCATTAGATTCCGTGTTTCCATTATTTTCACCGTATCCTGCAATCTCGTTATTCTCGTTCTCGACGTTCTCTGCGTTTTCCTCGTTGATGATGTCCGGTACTATCAGAATGTCCTCGAGCTTCACTAAATTAAGATTCTCCTGCATATCTTCCTCCATGTCTCCCCCAGAAGTTTCCATCTCGAGTTCAGGGTCTGCATCGGTTCCTTTGTTCATGTTAGCTGCCATAGCTGCAAGCTTTGAACTACGTACAGTCGCCACAGGTATTGGTTTAGGTACTGCTTTGTTTTCCAATATAGCAATGGTGACAGGTGAATCTTCAAGTGGCATTTCAAGTAAATGTGTTTCTTCCCTAAAATATTGAAAGAAGACGTTGCCATTCTTCGTCATCTTGAGTTAGATTGTTGTAGTCATAATTTGTTTTTACTTCAAAAGATGTAATCTGCTTTTCAGTGATTTTTAACTACTATTTTGATCGATGGAAGTATTGCAAGAGCATACACAGAAGTATTTAAAGCATTATAGGGAAACATGCTTTCTAAATATACCATGAAATTATAACTGTTATAGTACTAATCGACTTGTAACACACAATGATAAAACATCTTTATGAATAAGCTATAAAAATGAAGAGAGAAAAATAACTTTACAGCAGTATAGTGAACAAGTACAAAATAAAGTCAAAATATTTAATATAAATTACATACATTCGGAAAATAATACATCACCAAAAATCATTTTCCCCAACCAATAATCGTATATGTATAAACAATGAATTGACAGAGATTTCATGCATATGTGTCCAGTTGAACTTGAACTCACAAAATGCATTGCAAGTCTTGTTATATAACAATGATATAGAATGATGTAAAATAATACTGATAATGATAGGATAAAATATAATGCAACATGATTCAACTACAGAGTAACAAAAAATCTCTCATAAAAGTAAGATTCTACAGAAATCATTTCTTGTTTTGTTTAGACTTTATTTTTTCCCTGAACTATAATCAATACTATAGAACCAGGAGTAGTTCCTCGGAAAGAATATATTTGGAAAGCAACTACAGAAAGTTGAAGTGGTACGAAAATCGTCATAGTATAAACTATCCAAATTAGAAAATGCTTTTTAGAGAAACATTATCGCAACGTTGACGAATACTCATGCAAAATAATAGAATAGAATGGCGATACTGTCAAAAAGAAATCTCTAAAAAGAATGAACACCAACACCAAATGATGACAAGAGAAAAATGTTAACCTCGGTTCCTCTCCACTCTTCGTCGATGGGATCAAAATTTTGACAGGCACCTTGTTTTTCCTCCTGGTAATATTTAAATTGTGGTGATATGAATATCACTGAGAATTAATTAATGTTATGAATGATATGAAATAATTTTACACGAGAGGTCCCCCTGTCTTTTGGTTCAAGTAAGTATAATCCATAGGTAATTCTCCCACAATGTGGCATAAAACACCACAGATTTGTACCCCTGTATCTCTTATAAAAGCATGTAGAATAAAATTTATAACTGTATTTAGTTGATTATTTAACGTTCCATGCATGGAAGGTATATTGGAATGTATAAAGAAGTATGTTATAACTTGTGTCTCTTATCACTATTCAAATTTTAATGGAAGATAAGCACAAATGAAAATGTAAAAATAGTTCCAAATAGGATGACAGATATTCAAATTCCATCGTGTTCACTGTGCAAAACTCCATCATTTTACAATATCAAAATTGAAAGATTGTACATGACTCAGTTGTATACATATACATACACATAGTTCTGTGTGCATATGCACTCACACACGTGCATATACATATACATACATATATGTATATGTATAGATATAGGTATAGGTATAGGTATAGGTATAGGTATAGGTATAGGTATAGGTGTAGGTATAGATATAGGTATAGATATAGGTAGAGGTATAGGTATAGGTATAGGTATGTACATATCACTTAGTTCAACTTACTTTTTTTTACCCTTACATACGCGTTTCTTTCTTGCATCAATCTCTCGTGGATTAACCAGTTGTATGTCATCTTCTAACTGAGCAGAATCGTCAACTAGATGAACAGATTCCATATTGTTTTCATCCATTATTGATGCAGTATTATGTTCTGGACTTTGGATTGCTGGATTTGGATCTCCTTCCAACATCCTAAATGGAGAGAATCCATATCTAATTTAAATTTTCCA